GCCCCAATGTTGTGTATATGTAAATAATAGCAGTTATAAAATCTATAAAAAGGTGGTACAGGCTAAGGCCCATGCCCAAGCCGGAGCACAGGTTGCCTATACTGCCCCAGAGAACGATTGGTTGCAAACCTTGTTTTCAGGCTGGGGTTTGTCGTCTTAGCTTGGTGGTTTATTTAGCCTGCTATTAAAATTTCTTTTTCCTGTATTGCTTGTATTACTGGTATTATGCTGTGCAGTATCATGTGTTAAGGCCCTTTTGCAAAAGTTAATAAATCCTTCTCTTCAGGCTATCACAAAGTGCTTATGCAAAATCATATTGTAAAAAAATAAATAGCCCAAATAAAAAAACTCAGAGCCAAGGCTGTTAAGTATTCTCAAAGGGGGGAGTTGTTGGGAACACTGGGGCATGGCCACTAGGTAACTCGAGGGGATGAAAGACCACGAGTGTCAATAAAGCCCCCTCGCACTAGGCCCCAGTGTCCTTGGCCCCCCTCCTCCTGCCTGGAGGCACTCACAGCAGCTCTGCATGCTAGGCCCAAGTGTCCTTGGCCCCCCCGCCTGGAGGCACACACAGCAGTTATGCTAAGAATCTGCAACAGTATGTTGCAGAGTCAGACTGCCTAAAACTAAGCAAAGCCAAACAAAAAAAATATTAAAAAACAATGCTAAATAAAGCAGCTTTATGTATAGTTTAACAAATAATACAAAAAATCAAAAAACTAGCTAAAAACTAAATTGGCTGGCTATATAAATACTTGAAGCAGCTTGCTATTAAATAAGTATGCTAAAAAAAAAATGTATAAAAGCCTGTGTAACTTCCTGCTCTGTTGTGCAGGATTTGAGATTTTATTCTCCCTGTACCTTTTTGCAGCTGCAAATAAACTTTTCTGCTTCTCCACCCCGTTGTAATTATTGGGTGTAGCACACCGGGTAACGAACCAACTCAAGCTGTTGTTCAGCCTCTTGGCACTGGGTGCCGGCAACATCTGGATGATGGGATGGATTGCACCCTCAGCAAGTTCGTGGATGACACTAAGCTTGGGGGAGAGGTAGATTCGATGGAGGGTAGAGATAGGGTCCAGAGTGACCTAGACAAATTGGGGGATTGGACCAAAATAAATCTGATGAGGTTCAACAAGGACAAGTGCAGAGTCCTGCACTTAGGAAGGAAGAATCCCATGCACCGGTACAGGCTGTGGACCAACTGGCTAAGCAGCAGTTCTGCAGAAAAGGACCTGGAGATTAAAGTGGACGAAAAGCTGGATATGAGTCAGCAGTGTGCCCTTGTTGCCAAGAAGGCCAACATCATATTGGGCTGTATCAGTAGGAGAATTGCCAACAGATCATCTTGTTTAGAGCTATTTTCATTAGTCAACATATGGGAGAAAGCTTGGGACTGAAAAAACAAAGGCGATAGCAAATTGGAATGTGTTTTAACTCTTGTAGATCTGGAGGAATCTACAAATCTGCCAAAATTCTCAAGGGACCTGCAGATGGTGTAGGCACCCAAAGAGCTGAAGTTTGAAGTTAGAGGCCAAATTCAGAGCTGCTTTAATCAGAGGCAATTTCATTCACTTCAGCTGTGTCTCACACTGTTACGCTGTATCTGAATTTTGGCCTAAAGAATTTTTCTGTATGAGACCAAAGGAAAATGTAGAAGGTGTCTCATGCTGAGAATATATTTACCGCTTTTTGGCTGTGATATCCTCAAATTAGGAGAACACTTAACCTTGCAAAGGTCTTTCATAGTTTATTTTCCATAAAACTTTTTGGAAACAGATAAAAATCCTAATCTTGCAAGCACACATGTGCTTAACTATAAGCCTTTGACTTCAATGGGCCTGCGCACATGTTTAAAATTAGGCATGTACATAAGTGTTTGGAGAATAAGGGCCATGACTTCTGATGAAAGTTTAGGTTAGTACACTGCAAACTTAGACTTTCTTTTACATAAACCTTTGGTTTGGATTTTGAGACAATCTGAGGATCCATCTCCAACTGTGCTAATGAAGAGTGACAAACTTTTGTCCTTTTCGTGCTTGCAAAAATCTATTGCCGCTTACTATCTCTGCTGATTAAATCTCTCACTCAGGGCCTGGCAGCACCATCTGTGAATTTGTTTATTTACTGCCTTAAATTCATTTCTACTCATTATTAAAATCCATCTCATCAACATTCAGCATTACCGACATGAAGCATGCCACATTTCTGGCAGATATATTATTTGGTCCAGCTGCAGTGAAATAATAATTTGGAAGCCTCCATAAGGACTCCTGAAAAATCTGTATAGTATTTTAATATTTATACTGAACATCTATGAACACATGATGACGACTGAGGTCCCTTTATAAGAAATTGCAAGAATCACTCATCACAAAACCCATAAACCTCTGCCCCTATCTTCCATTAAAATGATGGCTGTTTAGTTATATGAATGCATTTATCAGTATCAGATCATAGAGAGACATATAGGTGAAAATAAAATCTGTATCGTATTTATATTATACTTCATATAACTGAATATTCAACAACCTTTATGTGGTGACAAAACAGTAAAAGAAATAGCTCCTTTGGAGTCTATTCTGGAAATTTTCTTTCCTTCAAAGTAAGCAAAATAAAAGGCCCAGACGAATCCCATCTTCATAGCATTCAGGGAAAGAATGTGTACAGTGGTTTAAACACGTCCAAATGGTATAAGATGGTGTTTGCAACATGCCTTCATTACGCAAACACCAGAAATTGACCAGACACTTAAAACAATGACATGAGAACATAAGAAGCTTAGAACTAAGAAAAATGATTAAAAAATAAAATGTGTTTATTAGTGATGAGTGAACCTCAAACTTTTTTTTAGTTCAAGTTCAGTTATCAGAAATTTGTCTGAAAAATCCAGACCTCTAGGAAACTGGACTGTAAACCTCATAAGAACAGTCTTCCTCATGAGAGTCCTAGTGATTCCAGCTTCTGAACAGGCCAGACTGTTCAGTTGCATGTCCCTTTAAATTTCACTCTGTTCAAGGTGCCCATCATTCAGATGTCTGAACATGCATATTACAAACTTGTCAGCATCATTAGTAGGGCCCTACCAAATTCACGGCCATGAAAAACGTGTCATGGACAGCGAAATCTGGTCTCCCCCTGTGAAATCTGGTCTTTTGTGTGCTTTTAACCTATACTATACAGATTTCACGCGGGGAAAAGGGGAATGGGGGGAACCAGCAACCAGTATTTCTCAAATTGGGTGTTCTGACCCAAAAGGGAGTTGGGGGGGCGGGGGGTCAGGAAGTTATTTTAGGGGGTTTGTGGTATTGAAACCCTTTCTTCTGTGCTGCCTTCAGAGCTGGGCGGACAGAGAGCAGTGGCTGTTGGCAGGGCGCCCTGCCAGCAACAGTGCAGAAGTAAGGGTGGCAATAGCATACCATGCCACTCGTACTCCTGCGTTGCTGCTGGCAGCGGCTCTGCCTTCAGAGCTGGGCTCCTGGCCAGCAGCCGCCACTCTCTAGCTGCCCAGCTCTGAAGGCCGTGCCACCGCCAGTAGCAATGCAGAAGTAAGGGTAGCAGCACCACAACCTCTCCCCCCCCTCAATAACCTTGTGACCCGCCCACAACTCCTTTTTGGGTCAGGACCCCTACAATTACACCACCATGAAATTTCAAATTTAAATAGCTGAAATCATGGAATTTACGATTTTTAAAATGCTATGACTGTGAAATTGACCAAAATGGACTGTGAATTTGGGAGGGCCCTAATCATTAGAGCAAAACAGATGTATGTAAAGAACATAGATGGGTCCTGTATCACAGAGGCAAAGAAGGAAAAAAGTGCTAAAATTCAAAGTGCTCCATAATCAGTACCCAGCCTGGGAATCACAGAGAAAGTATTCACCTGCATCTTCAGAGGTCTGCAAATTCTCCATGACTCAAACCGTACAAAATCTGTATAGATCCCTAAGAGATTACTGGCCTAGTAGATGGATGTGCAAAAGAAAACTTTTCGAGTTTACTGATTATGGAATGGGCATATTTACAAGTATTACCTTTTAAGCTGATTTCTAAACATTCAGATTCTGTAAATGACGTGCACTAAAGTGGGAAGAATTATTTTTAAAGCACAGACATATTCGTTAATGGTTCCAATAGCCTCATAGTTTTTGGAGTGCCTGTGAGAGTCCTTTTATTATGTAAGGGTAGTACCCATCAGAGATACTAACGGAACAAAGTCTGGACTCCATTACACTGATGTAAATATGAAGTAACTCTTCTGAAGCCAGTGGAATTTCTTTGGACTTGCACAGGTGTAAATAAGAGGAGAATTCAGAACTTGAACATGTCCTTGACAAACTGCTAAAAGCACATAAGAGCTGGGTGAGTCATCAATCAAAGCTGTGGAGTGGATGAAAAATGTCTGCAACAGTTCTGCCAATTTTTTGTTATTAATTTGCTGCTTCTGTGCTCTCATCACTTATGTGTTTGCTTTCTGGTAATGTTGTATGGAACAAATGTTGCTGGAAGGGATGTTCACAAAAACAGCTCATATTTAGCAGGGCTAAACAAGAATTCTATTTCACAAACAATTTTGATTTCAGAATTTGTTTTTGTTCCAATGCAGAAAAAATTCTCTGAGAGAAACACCCCTTCCCTCCACAAACACCTTTGAGTGACAGGTGCTTAGATCACTCAGCTAGGATGTGGGAGGACCCAGGTTTATGTCCCTGCTATGCTTGATTCCTCATTTGCCTGCTGTTTTACAGGTGTGGGACATCTCTCTGGTCATGAATTCCAGCCTGGACTTAAGAGAGCTTCCCAATGAAAGTGCTTGGTCAAAATTGCTACAATTCCATGAAAAGTTTCAATTACAATGAATCAGCATTTTCTGACAAAAAAATCATGTTGCAGAAAAATTCACAACCCGCTCTAATAATAAGTAACTATTGGAGAATATGCAGGGAAAGCACACTTTGAATTTTTAAGCATGACCATAGCAGAAACTTGACACTTACCCAACCAGAGAACCGAAGCATACCATGTGATCTGCATGTCCAATCCCAACAGTTCAGATTTCAGTTCTTGAAAATTTACAGTGAACTGCTCACTCTAGATGAAAAATTATTCACCTAAATTACTCTGTGGACAATTTGGAATAATTAATAAATGAAAATTGAAACTTGGTGCCAGACAATTTGTGAATAAAACAAGGGATTATATTCTTAGGATAAATTATTTGTTGTGGATTATTCACCTAGCTCTCCAAATTGGTAACTCAGAACAGCTTGTAACAGCACATTTGCACTGAAAACTGTACATAATCTATTTAAATAGCTTGAGGAAGGAGGAAATTGGAATTATATTCATATTTTATATTCAAAAAATAAAAGGACTGGCCCAAAAGCCCCAGAGAAGTAGATTTACAATGAATAATTCCTTCAGAATTAAATGTGCAGATTAGATCAATTAAACTGCAAGGTGGTCAGTCTCATTGTATGTCTAAATAATAATACATTGTGGGAATGAGAACTGAGCTAAAACTGACCTGGTAAGAAAGCAACAGGGTTTATACTGGAGGACATTGTCAAACTTGTACATGGTATGGGCCACATCCTGATAGAGAGATTGTCTTGTGGACAATGTTCCCTCCTATTTGTGGTTAAGCAAGTCATGCCATCCCACGGCACTCCTGTTTGTTATCACATACATCCCTCTGACAACCATGGCAATTTATGCACATGGAAAACTAACATCAGGAAAGTATTTGGTTATTTAACTATTGTTACTGCAATAAGTTGCCTTGTCCTTAAAATAAATTGCATTCTCTTCTTTTGTTCTTCTTGCCCCTTTGTTCTGCTCCTCTCTTGTATCTATCCTACAATCCCTTTTCTTTGTTTTCCCCACTGCACATACTTCTCCCTTGCCTTTCCCAATGTACATTTCTGCAGCTTGTTCCCCTTCCTTCTGTTCATACTGCCCACTCATCTAATCATCTTCCTTCCTGTTTTCTGAACATATTGCCGGCCTCTTTGTTCCACTCTGCCGTGGACATTCATCTCCTACTGGAGGCTGGATGCTCCAGACCCTGAGACCAGTTCCTGCTTCCTCTCCTTCGAGGGATGTCTAGTTACTAGCAGCAAAGTTGGTTTGTCTTTGCTTTTCACTACATGTTGCATATGGTTGGAGGAATGGCTCTGACTTAAATTCTTCTCCATGATCCGTAGTCTGAGAACTACTGTGGTGCAGTGTATTCTGAATTCTCTGTTTGTGATGCTGTCAACTAAATTCATTGCAGATAAGGGTATTTGAGAAATGAGCAGTCTAAGTTCATCAGTTGTCTTGATGGTGGGCATTTTTTGCCCTACAAAACTGAACAATGAAGGCAGTATCTAGGAAACTAGAGGCTGCACAAGACTAATACATAGATTTATAAATGGAAAATTGTCAAATAATAAATCCAAGAACTGAAGCAGGAAATAATTTAAACAGAATCACAATTTGTATATGGATTGTGCAAAAACCAAGAACCTTTTCTATTCTATTTACTCTGTTGTGCACACAATGCCACCAGAATGGAATCACATTATAAATCACAGCAAATGGCACGTTGGCTATTTCTCAGAGGACTTTAAAGATGGTACAGGGATTATGAGGATGAATACTCCGGAAATGAAAAGTAGCAGACTCAGAAAAAAGAAACGGTATCAATGCCAAGGGGCAATGTACTGTGGAAGTGTCAGTGATCTTTCATTGTCTGGTCTTGTCTTTTTCTTAAGGAATTAAAAGCACTAAACTAAAGGAGCTAACTATAAATATCACTGTGTAATCCTGTGGTGGATTTTTGATTGTTGTTTTCATATACTCGAAGCAAACATTTTTCTCCAGAGTAACAGAAAGAACAAATAAAGAGCACATATTCCCCACCAGAACATTATGAATAAAACAGCCATCTGGATTGAATTAACCCAAATAAATAGTTTTTAAAAAACACACACGGGCTTTAGATTTTCATTTCCAAACTATCTCAAAGTGCCTGATTGAATGCCCACTGAATATCATGGAAAGACGCCCATTTATTTCACTGGGATCCAGATCAGTCCCTAAATATTTAGTGAGATTGGAGGTTTGACAACTATTCATAACTTCCATTATTCACATTTTCTTTGCTCTTTCACTATAGCTAGTTTGCCTGCTTTTAAAATTCCATGTTCACAATATTGCAGACGTACAAAATAAAAATCAAAAGTTAGAAGACCATCTCAACTATTTAAAGATGTTTTTTAAATGCAGTTATGAAGTGATGGTTATGTGTGTGTTCTCTTTATCTGCACTTCTTTTGCATCTGTCTTTCTTTTGGATCCTTGACTTTTCTCATTGTCTCTAGGTCTTTAAGGACCTTGCATCTGAATTTTGTTTTTCTAGTTCATGAATAGATCAATAAAATCTAGGGCCCAGGCACACTATGTATCTTTCTATCTCCTGAAGCATTTTGCAAGGTCAGTTCTTAAAAACCTTTTTCCTGGGTTTTGGGTTTTTTTGGAGTAAAAGTGGTGGTCTTACTGGTGCTTATGGCACGTGTTGCTTGAGGCAGACATGGAGGTGCTCTGTAATAATGAACACTGTATGTTGACCTTGTCGTTTGAATATTTACTGTATTAATATATAAGCTTAGCTTAATAGCAGGAAGGTAAGAAGCAGGAAGGTAAGAAGCAGGAAATTCAGGAATTCAGTGGAAAATACACTGATTGCATCCGATGAAGTGAGCTGTAGCTCACGAAAGCTTATGCTCAAATAAATTTGTTCGTCTCTAAGGTGCCACAAGTACTCCTTTTTCTTTTTGCGAATACAGACTAACACGGCTGCTACTCTGAAACCTGTCATAAGCTATATTGTGATTTTGTTTTCAGTGGACTACAGCATTATGTTTCCAGGAATTTGCTGTTTGTTTGACGTAGCTGGCATTTTGTGCTCTGTTCCGGTACAGCCTGTGCCAGGGAGAACGTGTGCTCTCTTGTGGAAATTTTTTTAGTTCTTGTAAAGGGGCTAGGCTGGGGCTCGACTCTCTCCGGGGTGGCAGGGAGTCACTCTGGCTCGCTACATACAGTTGACTTTGGGGGAATTTGTCCGACCACCGGAGTCTCCCTCAGCAGCCCTTGCGGTAACTACAACAAGAACCGTAGTCCTGGGCCCTGAGTCAGGGCAGGGCACCAAACAGTCAGTAGCTCAGGCCCTCAGGCAGGGGCTGAGCAAATAGCCCAATGTTAGCAGGCCAGGCCCTGGGTCAGGGCGGCACCAAATAGTCAATGGCTCAGGTCCTCAGGCAGGGGTTGAGCAACATAGGATGTGTGAATTAGCCCAGGCCTCCAAGGACCTGGAAGAGGGGGAGACTGCCACCCACAAATTGGATGGCAGGGGGGGAGATGCAGGTCCACCCACTCCACTGTATCCCGACCCAGGGCCCTAGCAGCGGCAAGCGACCCACTGTTGGGTCAGTGGAGATCCTGATTGCAACACACTGACATGGGTTCTGGCATAGTTACAGCCAGACTAGGGTCAGCTGTCCCCGGCTACTTCCTAACTTCCCTCCTTCTGGTACCTTGATCACAGTGGTGTTCTCTGGGGGATCCAGCACCATGGGTTCCTCGGGGCAGTGGACAAGCGGCAGGTCCGACAACCCTCCCCCTCCGGATAGCTGGCGCAGGGCAGGTCTGGCCAATCTTGGCGTGGACCTGGGGCCACAGGGTTTTCCCAGTCGCGGGCTAGGCTAGCTACGTCTGGCCTCCCCAGCAGCTGGTCCCCTAGTGAGCATTGAGGGCCTGCCTTTATACTTTCCGGGTTGCGCCTTTCTACTTCCGGGTCGCCGCCTGTCCCTCTGAGGGGCGGGCTCAGAGCTTCCTGGCTCCGCCCACTCTGGTGTCTGGAGGAGCTCGACCCTCTCCGGGGCGGCAGGGAGCCACACCACCTCGCTACAGTTCTTTTCTTGTTTTTTTGTTCTCAGTATAAAACAAAGGCCATGCAGTTACTTTTTGCACATGTAATGTCAACAGACCCCAGCTATCAGCAGCTGGGATTAAACCTGGGACCACTTGAGCTAAATGCTTGAGCTCTACTGGATTTGTAAAGCTTGCTTCTACACAACCAAGCAGTGAGCATATGCATGCTGTTAAACTGAATTGTAAAATGCTTCTTGGATTGAGAGATACAGGGGCAGAAATTTCTGTGGTCAGGAAGGACCTGATCCGGGAGAAGGATTTGTTGCCAGGGAAAATGGCAGAATTAGAACTGATGGGAGGTTACAAAGTCCTTGCACCTTTAGCTAAAGTACACATGCAAACTAGTCATTTGCAGGCTGAGCTGACTGTTGCAACAGTGGCACATAATTTTGTTTGAGCTAACAAGCACACCTGTCTTATGCAAGGCTGTAGCAGGCTCATCAATCTCTAGTTGTCCTATCCACAACTAGAGGGGGACACAGTGCCACACTGAGCAGGTGTAGGTTACATGTACAGAAAAACACAGCCGTGTTGACTTCTATGGGCAAGGTAGAACTTTTTTTAAATGATGGTTGATTCTACCCTTGAGAATTCATTCAATGTTGGAAATGTATTTAGGTCAGTGAAAATTAGTAGTGTACATAGCCCCTAAGCCAGCATTTCTCAAATGCTGCCACCAAAGGCTTTTCTCATGGCCATACCCTTCTGGGCAGTGACTGGGGGGGGGGGGCAAAGCAACAGCCCCTCCCCCAGAGTCACCAGCAGTGGTTGGTCCCTGTCTCCCTCTGGAGACACAAAAGCTGGAGGAACAGGAGGCCAGTGAGTTCCCTATCTTCCTGAGGGCAGTGGGGTCGGGCTTCAGCCCTGGGGTGGTGGGTGGTGGGCTCCAGCCACAGCGCTTTGGGTTTCATTCACTGGCCTCTGGCACTGAGCTCACCAGCCCCCATCACCCCGGGCCCCCATTGCCTCCCCGTGTCCCTTCACCCCTGACCCCTGCTGCCTCTATACCCACCTCCACATCCAGGGCTTGCTGGGGCCGAGTAAGTCTGCTGTGAAAAGTGATATTTGTATGTTTGTTAATATCACTTTTTACAGACTTACTATTTAGCAAGTCTAAAAAAAAAAGCAACCAAAAAAGCAAAAGAAACAACAAGAAAAAAGACAAGAATGTGCAAAGCTCCTTATTTGTATTTCTATTCTGTTTAGGTCCAGTAAAGAATAGAGACAACTGTGCATTATTTTTATTATTGAGTCTGCAAAAAAAAATCCTACATAAATAAATTACAATGATTTGGATATGTGTATGTGCATATGTGTTTGTTTTTCCTAAAGTTAATTAAGTATTTTAGGAAATATTATCAAAGCGGCCACCAGAAAGTGTTGGTGGCCACACTCTGAGGCCACCAAAAATTTTGTTGTGATAACCTCTGCCCTAAGCGATCACCTTAACATACAGAATGGTATTTGGAGGCAAAACAGTTAGGATCAGATAGTGGACAAGGCACAAAGGAGTGAGGAGACTGCCCACAACTGCAGCACTTGAATATTTCCAAAGCACAGATGCTGCTCAGGGCTAGTCTCCCATGGATACCTATTTGGAGGAAGAAGCATACAGGAGGTGGGACAATGAGGCAGAGTTGGCCAGCTGTAGAGGGAAATGCATTTTGTATCCTACAGTGCCATGCTCCTCGGGAACTTTGCATTGCCGAGTTGACACACAATGCCTGAAACTCCTCTTCCTTACATTTTTATTGAACTGTATCATTTTTAGTGAAAGTATGCTGCACTGTTCCCTTATGTAGTGTATATTCATATTTGTCAATATTTCTCCTCCACCTATTCTGAGATATTTCCTCATGACAGATGTAATGAATTATCCAAACTTAGCCCAGTGATATATGCATTTCAGATACCTTTTAGGTTTTCTGAATCTCTATTGGTTCTTCACATTATCCTGTGGTCCTCACCTAGAATATGCATAGCTTTCTGCCAAATGGTAGAGTCCAAAGCCTTACATCAAAGCCCACTGGTGTCAAAGGGAAATTCTGCACATTCCACATTCCAATTTGTTATTTTTAAAAGCATCTAAACTGAGCGCTCAAATTCCCTGCTACATGACTGATCTTCCCCCTTTGAAAATCACCATGCACAGGGGTTGTGAGGGTGATAAACACATACAAACAGAACACAACAGTGATCAGCTTATGGGAGAAACACATGCTCAATGCAAATTTGGATACAGAACTGTTGACCAGAGTTTTGAAAGCGTTTGTGCTGTGTCTGTGAGTTACAAGCTATGTTTTTCTTTTGCGATGTAATCTGTTTTGAAACATGTACAAACTAGATCTGTGTCAAGAACCACAATTTCTGTTCCACAGGAAATTTCTGACATTCTGAAATTCTGTTTCATTCCAAATTGGTCTTAATAGCTGAAATGAACTCTTCAGTTTTACTTTTATGTTATATTAAAATATGTATTCTCTATATATAATATCTAATATAATACAATAAAATATTTTAACAATATAAAAGTTGAAACAAAATTAATCAAAATGATAATGATCAAACAAAATGTTTTGCCTTTTCCCCATAAACAACGTTGAAATTCACATGTTCCTGTGAAACAGTTTGATTTTGATGAAACTGCATTTTTGATGAACAATTTTTCAGTCAAGTTTTTTTTGACCAGCTCTTGTTCAGACCTTTCAGTAAATTAGACCAAGAATTTAGTATCCTCTGTTTGTCAACCTATTTCCCTCCCAGAAAGACCTCTCCTGGAGTCCTTTCCTGAACTCATAGAAGCCACGATGCTCCGTAATTATTATCAAATCACCTCGTGAGTCCATTGAGGATAATATCAGTTTTGTCTCCAAGCCATTTCTCACTTGTACATGTCTGTGTATTTGCCATCCCTTAGTCGGGATGCTTAAATGATCCAAGCTTTTTTCTCCTCACAATCATAAACACTAACTCGTCAGAACAAGATTGCCCTTTACCTCATTACAATGAGTCAGTTCTGAATATGTGCTTGTTTAGCTCATTGATGCTCATAGGGATTTCACATAAAAATAGTGTATGACTCTGGAAATTTCACAAGAACAAATGAAAAGGCTAACTCAAGACATTTTGATTTCTCTTGCTGAACTCAGGACCACTCCAGGAGAAATAATTCCTCTCAGCTCTCTGATTTCCCATCCAGAGGCTTCTGACAAAATCAATAAGTTACATTACCAAAGAGTCAGTCATAGTGGCTGCCTTACCACTCAGTCGGGTCACTTCAGAACAAGATCTGAATTTAAAACATCCCAGTCTCCACTCTACAGGGCAGAATAAAATGAGACAGAGAGATACTCTAAATAGAGCTGGGTGGAAATTGTCTAAAGGAAAAGTGTTCCATCAGAATATGGTGATTCACCACAAGCGAAATGTTTCACAGTAACATGTCATTGATGAAAATGTGTTTTGAAATAGAAATTGGGGTGAAAAGTGTCTTGATAAAGACAAAACATTTTCAGAATGGAAGGTTTGTTTCAGTGTTTAAAATGTTGTGGTATAAAATAAGATGAAGCAAAAAAGTCAAAATTGTTCCAATTTTGATGACCTTTTTGATTAACCCAAAAAGCATTTCTTTAAAAAAAATCAGATCATAAAGCGTTTTGAATTTTTAATATATTTATTTATTTTGTCAGTTTTAGAATGAAAGAGATTTTGAACTAGCTCAGCTTCTCCTGACATGAAAAATCTTGTCCTTATATAACTGTCATAAATATAAAGGGAAGGGTAACCACCTTTCTGTATACAGAACTATAAAATCCCTCCTGGCCAGAGGCAAAACCCTTTCACCTGTAAAGGGTTAAGAAGCTAGGGTAACCTCACTGGCACCAGACCGAAATGACCAATGAGGAGACAAGTTACTTTCAAAGCTGGAGGGGCAGGGGACAAAGGTTCAGTTTGTGTGTGTGATGCTTTTGCCGGGACCAGAGCAGGAATGCAGGTCAGAACTCCTGTAAAGAGTTAGTAAGCAATCTAGTTAGATATGTGTTAGATTCTGTTTTGTTTAAATGGCTGATAAAATAAGTTGTGCTGAATGGGATGTATATTCCTGTTTTTGTGTCTTTTTGTAACTTAAGGTTTTGCCTAGAGGGATTCTCTATGTTTTGAATCTGACAACTCTGTAAGGTATTTCCCTTCCTGATTTTACAGAGGCTTTTCTTTTACTTTTTCTTTAATTAAAATTCACTTTTAAGAACCTGATTGCTTTTTCATTGTTCTTAAGATCCAAGGGTTTGGGTCTGTGTTCACCGATGCAAATTGGTGAGGATTTTTATCAAGCCTTCCCCAGGAAAGGGGGTGTAGGGCTTGGGGGGATATTTTGGGGGGAAGATGTCTCCAAGTGGGCTGTTTCCCTGTTCTTTGTTTAACACGCTTGGTGGTGGCAGCATAAGGTCCGAGGACAAAAGGTAAAAGTTTGTACCTTGGGGAAGTTTTAACCTAAGCTGGTAAGAATAAGCTTAAGGGGTCTTTCATGCAGGTCCCCACATTTGTACCCTAGAGTTCAGAGTGGGGAAGGAACCTGGACAATAGCTCTACTGTGAAAGCTTAAATTCATTAAGCTTATACAGTTATAAAACATATAACCGGGAAAGAATTCAACACTGAGAAAAGAAGACACATCATTGTGAAGCTCTGTGTCTCCAGTGTGACTCATGTAGTGAGAGATAGTAGGTGAGCACATAGTAGCAGAAAAATGCCCAAAGCATAATATCATAAAACAGGCAAAAAGTCCTGCTTAATCTCATAGTTTGCAGCTTCTCAGGTCTCTCAGTGGAAAACACAGAGCAGATGCCATTAAAAGGCCAGTCAGAATTGAGGACATTCCATGCAGTGGCACTTGGAGGAATTAGATTAAAAAATGGATATGCTGCAATCCTCTATGCAGTCAGTAGAAACTAGGCTGCTAGAGACAAAGAACAGGCTGGAGAATGTGACAGTTGATCTGGGAGGCAGGACAGTAAAAAGCAGAAATGATGCAAGTGACATGAAAGCAAAAGTTCAGGAACACAAGAATATCAGCATTTGCAAAAGCCAAACCCTTCTTTCTGAAAATGACACTGCAGTGGGGCGGTGTTCTCAGATAGTGGAGAAGAAATTGATATCCTATATTCCATGCATGACTGGCCTCTTATTGAGTAAAGAACCCAGATCTTTTTGTTAAAAGTCTCAAGTGACACAGAAAACAACTTTCAGATTAGATATGTTTAAATTGTACAAATTGTTAAACAGAGAGATTAAGAACTAAAACCCAAGCTATCTTCAGTTATCAATTATCATATAAAACAAAGTAACTATGCAGTATTACAAGAGTTACATTTTTTTTCCTTAGGATAAAGCAAAATGTCCTCATTCAAGTTCCATTTTTGGGATTGACATAGGAATTGCTAGTTGAAAATCTATATCCTGTGTTATGCAGGACATCAGACGATCGTACTGTTCCCATCTGACCTTAAACTCCTTGAAATCAAAATTACTCTCTGGTGCCATCTAACGACACTGAGAGGTTCACATGAGAACCAAGCTCCCAGAGCTTTCACAGTAATTCTAATTTTTCTCCACCATACTGTAGTGGAAGTTTGCTATACAAATTAACACTTACAGGGTTTTTTTTTTTACTAATATCCTCCTCCTTAAAACACACTTCTTCCAGAAGGCCTATACAAATCAACCCTTTCCCTTCAGAGAAGTATTAACTGATAAAAATACTTACAAAAGTCGAGAAAAATTGGGAATCCACAAGATATACCTTAAATGTATCTGTCAGTCACTTCTGTTGGATATCTGTGATATTGTGCAATATCTGTGATTGAAGGAATGGCTCAGAACCCCCGTTAGCATATAAAATATGACTTTGCAGTTGGAAGGCAGTCTGGGTGCAATCTATGGTGCAAGCATGGGCGGTGGGTGTAATAGGCCAGGGAAGACTGAGCCTCCCCAAACAGGATGTGGTGCACTTCCCTTTGGAGGCATGCCGGCCGGCCGCCTTTAGAATGCTGCCGCTGAAAGGGCACTCGGGCCGTGGCTCTGTCCACACTGCTTCCCTTCCCACCCCTCCTCTGCCTTTTCCCCCGAGGTCCCAACCTCGCACCCCCTCTTCCCATCCCCACTCCTCCCCTCCCCCCAAAGTCCCCTCCTACTGCTCGCACCTCTCCATCCCCGGCGGGCAGAAGGGACCTCAGGGGAAGGCATGAAGAGGCGTGAGCGGCGGGGAGCCACCCTGAGGAGAAGGGGCAGAGAGGGGTAGGTTGAGGGGGGGCTTTGGGAAAGGGGGCGAACAGCAGAGCCCTGTGTGGATATAAATCGGTATCCGCGGAGCTGCAGGGCTCTACCAGGAACCGCAGTGGTGAAAGCAGCAGCATGTCGGGCCACCGCTCCCAGGAGTCAGTGCCCCCGCCCCTGGACCGGCAGCTCCTCCAGCGTGGCTGTACTGCCCCAGGCCCCAGCCACTAGGGTGGGCACCAGGCTCACTGGCAGCTCTCCCAGCGGGCGGGGCTGGGGGCAGTACAGCCATGCCAGAGGAGCTGCCAGCGGGGGATGCTGGCTCCTGGAAGCAGCAGCCTGAAATGCTGCTGCTTTTCCCACTGGGGTTCCCGGTAGAGCCCTGCGGCTCAGAAGATACTGACTTATATCCATGGAGATAAATTTTGTATCCGTGCAGGGCTCTAGCGAAGAGGTGCTAGAGGCGGGGGGCCTTGGGGGAGGGGATGGAGCAGGCTTAGGGGCGGGGCCTTGGGAAGGAGGCCAAGCAGGGGCAGGCCTTGGGGCAGAGCGGAGGGTGTGGACCCCCACTTCTAGGGAGCTTCTGTTGCTTCCGCCCAGTGCCACACATGGGTGCACATGACCTGCAACAGAGAGGACAAGAAAGAGAACCCAGTTTAGAGGTATGAGTTTCTTCTCTCTTTTTCCAATTCACATAGTCCTCTTCAAGTAGCCCTTTCCATTTCCCTGCAATTCCCCACCCATATGAGAAAAGCCTGTCACAACCTTGCCAGGGGGTCCAGAATTGTTAGTTGTGTCCTGAGTCCACTTCTCATTTTCAAACTTCATAGGTTCTGGGATTCCTTCACCAAAGTGCTGCAGAATCTATGTCACACTTTTGTGAAGTCCAAGAGGAGTATTTCAGATCTTTGTACTAGGAGTGCTGGGTTCTGGAATGTCCGTTGAGACTACAATAATCTAGGCAAATGTAATGCCACAAAATGTTTTAGGGATAGTTTGGCTATTTCTCTTGCTGTCTCGTAGCTCATAAAGCTAGAAGGGACCATTGTGATAATCGAATCTGACCTCCTGGTTAACACACCTCTATAGGCCTTCCCTGTATTAATTTCTGCTTCAAGTCTAATACCTATGCTGGAACTAGACCATATCGTTTAGAAAAAAAAACATCCAATCAGAGATACAGTATAAAAAATATTGGAAGTTAAGTTATGTTCAGCAGCTTGAGTCAAAGATGGTGACTTCAGCAATGAAACGGCTTTGAGATTCTGTTGGGCTAAGAAAGGGATATGTATGAAGTAGCTGCTGTGAGTGCTCCTGCACTGGTTTGCTCCCAGTGGCACACTACCATGTATTTGGAAGTCAGAAAATTAAAAATAAAACTTTTATTAGCATCTCTTTGCATGCTGAAGTGACACATTTGACTGTTGCTCTGCTGGATGCCATCTTCAAGGTTTCAGTCTGCCACAACTCACTTGGCTGGTATATTTAGATGCCACCTTGAAAAATGTTTGATTGACAGAACTATTTAAAAGGATTTCACCTCTAATAGCTAGGCATATGGCAACAAATGAGGTATTTATCAAAATTATAGTTCAGTATTTTAATAAAATGACAAATTTGCTGTTGCTTTCATGGCACTTCTCCTTTTGAGTTGGTCTTTGGTTAAAGTGGAAAAATTACCCTATTACTTAAGCGAAGAAATAAAATGCAGCATGAACAACAGTCATAATTTAAAAGTTTCTATCAACTAACAGAGAACACACAGCAGTATGTGAGGTCTTGTCTTTACTACAGAGTTTTGTCAGAAAAAGTTATGCCGAGGATCAAAAAGCACTATAATTAAATCATGTGCGCATGTTCACATGATGCTCCTTCTGTCGGCAGAGTGCGTCCATGCTTGAGAGCAGTGCACTGTGGGTAGCTATCCCACTGTGCTACTTGCCACCTTCTGCAGCTAGGACTTGTGGAAATGCGGAGTGGATCGCGGTGCATCATGGTTGTGGGCTCAACTTCCCATGATGCAGTTCTTTCCATCCCAGCATTCCATCAGCTTCCAACTGTGTTTAGTGGCATTTTTCAACAGCCCTTGTTTACTGTGCACCCGCCATCTCTGTCTGAAAGGATGGATCCCGCTCTCTACTCTTGAGGTCACTGTTATGAACACAACACGTATGGTCATGCAGTATATCATGAGCTCCCAATCTGAAATTCTATGTGCCATGGAAAGAAACAACACCAGATTACTTTTGGCATTCATGGAGCAGCTGAACATGGACCATCGCTTTTGGGTTCAGGAAACAAGCACTGAGTGGTGGGATAACATTG